CTCCATAGGAAGCGATCACTAGCACCGTATCCATGAAGCTTCGTTAGAAGGATTAAATGTTTCAACCGGTAGACTGTTTTCGACAGTTTGACATAGACAACATCAACTTCTACACCAACATACACTGTTCCTGTCCAACCGACCAGTGCTGACAGTAGATTGGTCGTGCACAATCGGTTTCGGTGGAAGCCAGGTTGTTATTGAGCGAAACACCCAAGTTCATCAAAGTAAGACATGAGTGCGTCAGCGATGATGGTCTCCATGACGTTTGAAATACTTAAAAGGGTCGGTAGATGGTGGTCAGTGAACTCGGACATACTGCGTTTCTGTAAACTGGAGTTATTATCCCATGTTTCCATACTGTAGGAGCATGCATCTCGTCAAGGTAGTGCTGGCAGAATGGCGACGATCCCTCGGTCAATTCTTTAGCTGTTATGGCAAGCGCCTTCGCGCGAACATCATTAATTCCGGGAGAGATGGGCTGGCGGGTTGTTAAACGTTTTCTCATCAAAATGTTTGCCGCAAATTGGATATAAGTAAGTCATTGCGGTGGCACAGTACATTCCAGTAGATCAGGATACCACGGAACGCAGAAGAAAGTGGACGCTTACTGCTGCTGTACGGAATTTGCTGCATCTGGCAGTTTATGTGGGTCAATCGACTGTCATAAGAGGGGAAATATTTTTATCATCTTGGGATGACTATCCACATGCTTGTACAGTATTTTATGATTCGAGATAACTCGTGCTGTTAAAGCCAGCTGATATGCATCTTTGTCTTCGCTATCTAGTTGAACACAGTGATTACGGTGGACAGCGTGGGCCTTCCAGGTGTTCGAGCTCGGATCAGTTTTGTGAATGTATAATGCTGCGTTTCGAGTCATCATGTACTTTCGTGTCCTTCTTTGTACCAACTAGACCATGTTTCAGGAAATAGCCTTAGTTTCCGATGCATCAGCAACCAGGGTGTTGAACTTGCTGATGAAAGTTTCCCAGGCAATATCCGGTGTATCCTCGGCAAGAAATTCCAGTTTTAATTTCAACTGGTTTAGTTAATGTGTCGTAACGTATTGTGGTCCGCGATGCTAGGGTGTTCTTATTGGGGTATTCTGCGTAGTAGGTGTACATGAAAAGCAAAGTTTTATGATCACTGCGACCTAGAGGAGTATCAATGATTAACCTCACATTCTTCGTTGATGAATTTCCGGACTTGTACACACGGTGTACCTGTCTCTCTGGATCTAGTGAAAATGTTTATGTGGCCATAAAGCGGGTAAATGGCGACCACCTCTTACAGATCTGCCTTGAATGGTTCTTCAGTGGCGGTTTGAGGTTTCAGAGCATGAATGCTGAAATCGCCAATGATAAGTATGTGGCTAAACTTCTTGTTGCTACCCTCCTCAGTGAGAATGCCAGATTGAAGTCCGTCTCGCGTGTGGAAGACGGAAAGCGATAAACAATAGACACAAATCAAGCATTATGACTTCTCAAATGCAGACGGTACCGAAGGAAATCCTACACTGTATTGACCGGTTTTTCCAAGGACTCCCCTAAAGGTCACTGCGGAAGTACAGGGCCACTCCACTCCCTTTAGTGGGTCGGTCCTGATGCACAACGTCATGCTTGGTAGCGCGACTTCGATGGCACTTTTGGCGGCGCGTAACTATGTCTCCGTCATAGCGATGCGGTCGCGAACCTTTGATCAATGATACAGTCGCAGTTCGGAAAGTTTGTCAAGTAGGTCATGAGGCCATTAGTGTACACTTAAGATGGCTTCCTATATATCAGAAGTGCTTAACAAAAGTGTCGGAAGACAGTGTATGTATACCGATTGATGAGTAGTTTGTTGGTAAGCAGAACAATGCCAAGTCTCCAAATGTCTACAATCCATCCTCAATGGTTACTGGTCTGAAAACTTGGTTTCCTGACTCATTGTTGTGGTTAAATGGAGTTCCGGTGTTGTTTCCTCGATGATGTCGGGTGGCTGCGGGTTCTCTAAATTGCCGTTCCTAATCGTAGCTCCGTAAGTTGTGTATGGCTCGGTTTATGCCATCTACGCACTAAGTTCAACGCTATCTGTTTGGACTGCATATAATGTTTTTTCATCCTCCGGCCATTGCCTTTATACTGAAGCAACACGGGCGGCGCTGAAATAAACGGATGTATGATATCAACAGCACAGACAGCGTCCTGTATATACCTTCATCCTTTAAGATCATGGGAGTTGGTTTCCTCGTCACCAGTTACCAGTAGCTCAGACACGCCATGAATAAAAATGGTTCTTCTGCCACTGCCCGTGTAGTAATCGTTTGTATTATTGTTGTCCGGCTGGCGTTTGCGCCATGGAACATCTGGAATAACACGTATCCCACCGTCTTCACTCCTTTGTAGGCGGTATGAAGACAAAAGCACTACCTAAATATAATATGTGGATCCAAGTGTTAGTTGTATAAGTCTGGACTCACCGTAGTGCATCGGTTTTAGAGGGTTAGTGACGCGTCTTAAGTTAGTCAGCCTGGCCGGAACACTGATCCGATCCCAAACACAATTCCGTTGGTTCAGATCGTTCTGCTCTTTCCTCCTTCAGGAGTTTGCGTTGCACTGGAGCGTTGGTTTATGTCAGTGCTATGCCACCATAGTTACGCCTGGTCTTCGGGGATGTGTGGGGCGCGGTAGTAGGTGGATTTGGCGAGGTCTCTGTAGTTTACACCCGGTCCTTGACACCTGTTGCTGCTACGGTGGCTAAAGCTGCCGGGGTCGACCTTCAAATACATCGAGCAACAACTGTTGCATAGGTGGGTCGAATTTTAAAGAGGTTCGGTTTCTGTCGCTCAATCGGAAATGTAGACGTTACCGAAGTCGCATCAGTCGACATATTGGGCATATATTTCTATCATTCGTGGCAACCGGTTGGTTTGAGAATTCCACAGAATCCGTTACGGTGACGGCGTAGTAACGCTTGGCCCTTTGCCTTGGTTTCGTGGTAATGATTTAGGGAGACGGATGAGCTGCAAGCCATGCTATTGTCGCCCCCTAGTGAAACACTTCTAGCATTTAAAGGAAGCGCAGTTTATGCGATTAGACCGTTATATTTTTATGAAAGTTCTAATACACAGTATATAAGGGGAATCATAGTACAATCAGGACAGAACGCTGTGATCTACTCTTTAGAATAACCAGCGGTGATGTGCGATCACGAACACCTTTCAAACTATGCTTAGTGAAAATTCAATCCATACCGTTCGAAAAATATGGCCCTCTAACCTGTAACTAAATAGCCTAGTTGGGGCCTAGTAATTTGCAAAATTTTAATGGTCTCCAACTGTGTGAGAAAAAGTTTTATGCCCTGTTTCCTCGTAAACTCAGCGCTTCATTCTGTTTGATTTCCACAAAAGATGCCATTGATGTAATTTTATGCTTGGGAGACATGCTAACTTTATTCTAACGGTATCCTGGACTAGAATTCATGCCGCTAGTCATGGGAAGTGGCCAAGTATACAAAATGTCTGAGTCGCACGGCTGATTCCTTGGGAGTGAGAACACCAAACAACGTTTACTTATGGTTGCCGAGACTAACGGGAGAAAGCTTTACGAAGCTGAGTTATACAATGATAAAACATCGCGCTTTTTTGTCAAAGTGGGGCCCCACAAATAACACGATCAAGAAATTTGAGGATTACTACCCACCGTCAGGAATAACACAAGTATTCATTTTAATATCAACTGATGCGCAATGCTCGACTGGAAGTTCGGTTGAAGAATTAGAATAAATTCAGCAAAAATGTGACCTATCATTAAAAGCACCGATTAGTTGATACTTATCAGTGCTTAGTGTGCGCAGTGAAAGTTTGGCCAACTAGCGTGTCTGAGGGTCGATTAAATGCACCTAGTCAATAACCCGCGGTCGATGAAAAAAGCACTATCGATCCAGTCAACCGAATAAGTCCCTCCATGCAGCGCCAGTGAAACAAGGCCGTAGTCTAGTGGGGCCCAAAAGTGCGCGAAAAATCGCAGCATGTGAGATACCTAGACTAGATTAAGAGTCTCACGGATGGTGACATAAGTCCGAGTGTGCTTCCAAAACAAATGTGACTCTCATATGTGGATAAGACCTACTACAGGTAAGCAAGGAGGAGGAGAACGCGCTCAACGTTCCGTGTACTTGCCCGTTGGAGGAAGCACAGGAACAATGAGTATAGCGTGCTTTGGTGAAAACATAGATGACAAACTCAATTAGTCCACTTTGGTTCGAAAATAGTTTCCAGAATGGCGTTTGCGTAGGTAGTTGGACCAGCATATTGAAAACAAACATTTGTTCTAAAATATAAGGTCTTTAGCCTCATCGAATAGGTGTAAGGGTATTCTGTGCCCTTGTAAGGTGGGTATCCACAAATGTTTCATTTTCAAACAGAAAGATTAGTTGCTGTATGGGTTTCAATTTTAGAATATGAACTATAAAGTTAATATAACACGGGGATACACTAAGGGAAAGTACTTCATAGACAGTTGAAGGCACAATGACTGTTTCACATGCGCGGCATCTCAGTGGTAATTGGTATTTGCAGATAAAAAAGGTCATAATCAGACGATTCTAGTTACTCATGGGCAATGGTGGGGCTTCGTGAACTGCAAAAGATATGAAAATTATCAAACTTGCAAAATAGCTTGGCTGCAAAATTCTAATTTCGGTGCATTTAGCGTCCACGAGATATACTAAAAGCAGTGGGTTTTTTCTGCAGTTTCCCAAGTTCCACTGACCACTAGGAGGGCTAGCTGAAGAGACCAGGGAAGTGATTTAAGGTGAACGAAAAAGAAGCCTAAAACCGGAATGACTGAGTGCGTCAACCTTAGAAAATGCACTTAGATATAGTGACTTGGAGTTACCTTAACCGACAAAGGTTCATCCGGACCGTTGAGCTAGTAATCAATAAGAGTCAGCAGCCTTTGAATTGCACGGCAATTCGTCATTTAAAAGAAGTTGGTAAATGTGGAAAGACGTACTTTCGTCAGGGTGCATAAGATTTTTTTATCCCGATTCCCAGCAGCAGCAGCAGCAGTATCAATTTCCATCTTGCTTGTAAACTCCAACGTGACAACGTTTCCCAGTTTTTGAAGATGGTCAACGATGTTCTTTTCAATGAGAGCAAAATTACGTGTCAAAACACTATTAGCCTCTTGTTGCTCCAATTCACCTCTATAGGAGGCTTGGCATCGGTTACGTACCAGGGGAGACATGATAAGCAAATCACGCAAGTCGTAGAGCAACTGAAGGTTAAATAAACAGTTTGACTCTCCCTCTATTTTCAAAGAAGAAGCACAGCCTTCCTCATACAAGGATGCAGAACAAAAGTGAACGATTTCAGCAGACAGCTCAGTTAGTTCCGACCACTGGCTTTGATAGTGCGATTCAACCTGCGATAGCAAAAAGGCAAAAAGCAAACATTGTAAAACACGCATAAGACCAATACAACTCCTACAAGTTCAGAAGTTTGATGAACTAAAAACAGTTTACTGTAATATTGGAACAAGTAGAATTTTGAATTGGCACAACGCCATAGGAATGTATGCGAAATTGTTATAAAAGTCATACGCTATCTGTAGATAATCTAACCGTTCTTCAATTTCATAAGTGGCATTTAGAAAGATCTGACCTACGCTAGCACTGTTCTCACACATGTGCGATTTCATTGCCAGTATGCAATCGTTCCTTAAATCGAATGGTGTGGAAATGTCAATATAGCCCTGTAAATAGTTTTATACTACTGCACTGATTTGACCTTCACGATCTGTTCTGGCAGAAGGTTCCAAACATTTACCACTCTCCGTACGAAGCACTTGAGGTAGGGTAATCATTTCATTTCCAACACAACGGACTTGTACTGGTGTCCACATGTGTTGCATGGCGTTCGCAAGTGAAGCAGCAGCCCAAACATGAAGAACTCGCCGAGATGTAATATGCGGTAGGTCACGATAAGTTCGACTCGCAATCGATGATAGGACAAGGTGTAGAGTCATAGTGTTGCACCGGTCCGCGTACAGTAATTCTGTTAAACGCGGAAATAGCCTGGTAGTGACTGTAGGACACGTTCGATCTTCTGTGCTCGCCTCGGGTGATTGCACTGTAGGTAGGCAAGTAGTGCTCTAGTATTGGCCATATGATAGCACAGAAGAAGTGGGTGGTTACCGCTTCAGACAAGGCACAGGAGCTGCGTTTGAGTGCCAACAGCATGCGCAGTCTGTTCCGGTGAAGCCTGTTCATGTTGTCCACGGACTTCAAATCACAGTGCGAGAGTACAACCAGGGCTTTCACCGAAGGTGTGCGATGTAGCAGTTGGCAGTCTAGAGTGTAGTTTCGGCCGTCACCACTCTTCTACTGCATCACGAATACCGAACTGCTTAAGTTGACCGGGAGGCGGACTTCTGCAGACCACATGGAAAGGTGGTTGCGGTCTTGCTGAATTAGGCCGCTGCTGTCTACGGTTCTAATCAATCTCCAAATTTTCAAGTCGTTCGCAAGTAGAGCACACGACGACCGGAGAAGTTGAGGTAAATCGTTAACGTGGATTAGGAACCGAGTGGGTCCCAGCGACGTGCCTTGTGATAAGCCACTACTAGATGGATACCAGTCAGCTAGATGGTCATCGACCTTTGCATTCCACTTTCATCAAACGAGAAGCTCTCGGATCGAATGGGCGATACCGCCGATAAACCAACACCGCATACTCTCATATGCTTTGCTGAAATCCATTTCGATTAGGTTGACAGACTTCCTTTGAGCTGGGTTCACCTGTTCGCCGAGCTACCAGTGCATCAATCCATTTGGACTTCGTTTTGTTCACTACCCGCAACCCTTCATGCCAAATCAAGAGCAAATTGGTAATACATGAGTAGCCTAGCATGAAATCGTATTGTGCGAGTGTCAGTAGATCTTTTGACTGGAGCAGCTATAGTAGACTCTACTTCACGATCCTCTAGGAAACCTTGGCCAAAATAGGTGCAAACAAATTGACCAGTTGTTGTCCACTTTGATAGGGCCACCCCCTTTCGGAATCGGCTTTACTGCTGTGTATTTGCGATCCCTCGGCAATAAACCTGCTGACAGTGACCTGTTGAACAAGTCAATCCCAGCAGGTGAGATGATGGTCGATAGCGACTTGGGAATCAATGGATGGAGTCCGTCAGGGTCAGCAGGCTTTGTGTCGTCAAGGTTGGCTAATAGTTGATGCACCTCTTCCAGGCCACAATCCAAACTGTCGAGGTCGGTAAGCGCGGTGCAGATTGACCTCGATACACACACCCGGTCATTTACAAACACGGAAGCGAAGTGCACGGCTAACGCAGACGCAAGCCCCATGCTGGAGGTTGAGGGTAGTATATCCTATCCCTCTAGCACTGGCAGATCACCTGCCGGTTTCAAGCGCCGCTTCAGGTAAGCGAAGATTCTCGTCGGGGCGACCTTTGCGAGAGTTTCGAGCTGCTCTTCGAAATGACTGCGCTGGATCATTTTGTTACCTTTGAAAACATTCCAATGAACCTGCGTAGTAGTTGGAAGAGCCAGATAGGAGACATTGGTGGCACAGTCTTCTCTACCACCGAGCCATTTCTAGCACTTAATGGCTCCAGCATCTGAAAGCCATACATATGTTGTTCACAGTTTGTTAACATTAAGTCTAGGCACGATGGAGTTGGTCCCGATGTTATATGTGCCAACTGGTATATGTTCTGCGCTGCTCGCTTTCAAATATCAAAGCCCAAGAAATTTACTTCGACCTCACAATGTCCGAGCACGAGTTGGACTTCAGGATCGTTTACTATAGGGCACTTGAAAGCACCAACGAGTAGAAAATGGGGACGACTCATATGGCTTCGGAGACGCGGCAGCCAATCCAAACAACTAATCACGGGACTGCGATCGAGCGCAACAGCAGCTCATACGGGTCATCGTGGCTCCTGTGGACGCTCACAAGTTTCCAAGATACAGAAAACCGCAGGTAGAAGAAGAGGTCATGGCGGGCAATCGCTAGTCTACCACAACAGAAGCACAAGTAGCCACTGAGCTCGATTTCTTGGGTATTCACCTAGAAATTCAGCCACTTCTCTGCGAGTTCCACTAGTCTGGTCGCTCAGGTGCAGTAAGAACCACTTGTATGATTTCGAATTTTACTGTACCATTTGAGATGATATTTCGAATCCAAAAAACGACAACTCACTGACACATTCTCTGTTGTCGTGTAGATCGTCCCAGTTTGTGATAAATGCTACGCCAATTATGTGCCTGCTCCCTTGTTACTACGAAGCGTTTTTAATGAAACAGAAACGTTTTTAACAAACGTTCCATTTGTAGAAAGTAGAAGTCACGATTAAAATTCACGCACAATAATATACCTCGACGGGGAGTCGAACCCCGGTCCACGAATTTCCGGTCCGCTGCTCTACCACCTGAGCTACCGATGGCTGACGAGTAGGTGCGCAAATTTTAACACATGACTTCTGCTTGGTGCGCGACGTATTACCAATGGGCTCACAGTACCGGTCCTGATGTTGCAGATTGGCTCACTCACACGTCACTTCCTAATGGACCGAAGTACCTGTCCTTCAAATGTCCAAGGGTCGTTGGTAGATTAATGTTGGAAGTTTGTGAGTAGGGTAAAGTTTGTAGAAAGTAGAAGTCACGATTAAAATTCACGCACCTAATCGTCAGCCCTCGGTAGCTCAGGTGGTAGAGCAGCGGACCGGAAATTCGTGGACCGGGGTTCGACTCCCCGTCGAGGCATATTATTGTGCGTGAATTTTAATCGTGACTTCTACTTTCTACAAACTTTACCCTACTCACAAAGTTCCAACATTAAACGTTCCATTTGACTGATTTAAAACCGACCTGAGAGAAAAGACATGTTTTAGTGCAGATAGTGGAAATAAGTGAGAGACTAAAGGGGTTATTTTGAAGCACTTGTTGTGTGAATGCGTTGCGACGCGCAAGCTCAATGTGGACCACGATTCCCGTTGAAGTGAACATTGGTCAATTCGATCACAGGAACCGTAAATGATGAAACCGATGAGTATTGGGTGTTTCCCGCCCGAAAACACTGCACTTTACGACCGGTTTCGAAGTTGTTTGATGAGCACATCAGGTAGAAAAAGCAGGGCTGAACGCGAACTAGGTGCCATTGGGTTGTTTGCCGAAACATAAATGCCTAATCGATGGTGATAGTCGTTGACCTATGTAGACAATGATAACTCTAAAGTGGTTTTCCGAAATGTCTCTGTTCCGCTTTGCGACTGATACAAGCGAAGCATCTGAATGTTGTCATTCCTTGTTGACAGTATCTGTCACTGAGTCACAATGTTTTCAAATCCCAAAGATTCAACATAGTTGCAGAGCTTACAAATTGAAACATTTCATTTGGTGATTGTATAAAACAGTCGGCGATATGTCAAATAACACAATAATGAATAGCGCAGTGTATCAAATGTTCTCGGAAAATAATAACAATTCATTTATTTGTGATCCGTTACGAGTGTGTGACAGCCAAACAAGCAAAGTCCTCGCATGTGGCTACCAAGTTAAGTTGACCTACCGAAGATGCCCCAATACTAAAAAGGAAGCAGACCTTGTCAATAAAACCAAACTATTGACAACATGGCAAATAAAAAAGCTAAATTTCGTTATAGAAAGAAAAAGCCAAGAACGGTACTTTTGTGAGAAGTGGAAATGCCGTGACAATCTGGAAAGTGAGCAGTTGGCCTCATAAAAGCGAATGAGCTGATTGAATCCCTTGCACCCGCCAAGAAAGGGTAAATGCAAGACATTTGGAGATATATCGAAATACCTGTAGTCCAGATTGACTAACAAGCTTACATCTCATGCTAGAAAGTTTTTATGTGATCACCGCGTGGCACCTTGTTTAGCTTAGGACATCCTTCAATAAATGCACAGATGAAGGAGGATATTTAAGTAGACATTCAATCGGTGCAAGGAGAACGTGACCCAACCTCCACACGCAGCTTTTTTGCGGTCGCAGCAATGATATACTAAAAGATTTACTGAGCAGTGTAAGCAATTACTTCTACATGACCTTACCAGACACTATCGTAGTCTCGTGAACATCCCGAATACATCAGCGCCATTATTTCCTCAGGGGCCTGCGCGCACTGTTTATGGCTTGTCTAAATGTGATAATGCTTGTTGTAAAATAAGGTATGGAACCGTTCATTGATTTACCACTTCGATGACTTCCTTTTCCATGATAGTCATCCGCAAACACCATGAATGTTTTTATGACACAGCAAACTACCAGAAACTTTTGAAGCCACAGTAAATTGTTTTTATTACCCTGTTTCGAGGACTGCTCTGGGTTGGCGCTGACCAGCAAAGCTCATACTGATCAGCTCAATTTACTCAACATGCCTAG